GGGTTTCCAAGGAGCAGATGGTGGATTCGAACTGCAGACCTTTTGGTTAACAGCTGAGCTCTTAACCATTACGCCACCAGGAAGGAATGGTGGTGATTAATATGGGTGCATGCTTCCCTGAAGAGCAAGCAGGAGATCGCGTGAGGCCTTAGTTCAGGAAGCAGGTGAGGGCTGGCTCCGCCGAGGCATTGTGGGAAACGCTGGGATGAGTGAGACACAGTCCTCACCTTCAGGGGGAGGGTAGGAGCGGGAGACAAGTGCACACAAGAACTCCTGAGTAAACACTGAAATGGAAGGGCATGGAGGTCCTGTGACCCAGGCAGAGTAACCCTGTATAAACTGAAGCCCTGGTGGCACGGTGGTTAAGAGCTCAGGCTGCTTAACCTAAAAGGCTGGCAGTTCGAATCCACCAACAGCTCCTTGGAAGCCCTATGGGGCAGTTCTACCGTGTCGTATAGGGTCGCTATGAGTCTTGACAGCAGTCGGTTAACTTGGGGCAGATCACATGATCTTAATGTGTCTTCTATGAAGTGGGGTGTGTTTTTTTTTTTTTTTTGGATAGTTGAAAAATAGTATTAGAGTGTAAGTTTAATTTACATTTCTCTATTTTACATGACGCTCATCTTTTTTCTATGTTAAGAGCTGTTTGTAATTTTTTATTGTTGTAAAATAAATACATATATACAACACATTTGCCAATTCAACATTTTTTACATGTACAATTCAGTGACACCTATTACATTAACCACCCTAAACAGATAGTCAACGCTTCTTGAACAATGACTCCCCCCTGTAAAGTGGGGTGACTCTTGCCTTGCTCACCCCATAGAGTTGTAAGGATCAAAACTATTAAAATAATAATGACGATGATGATGATGATAATTAAAGCAGCAGGAGGCAGAGGAGGAGAAAAGGCTTTGTAGACCCTGCTGCCCAGGGATTCCAAGGGCCTGTGACTGGTGTTCAAGGACAAGTGGCCCTGTGGACGGCAGCCAAGACCAGGTGGCAGCCTCCTGATGCGGAGAGAGATGGCTGCCCACTGGCCAGCCAGCCCCAGGAGCAACAGCACCCTGTGCCCTTGTTCCCACAGCTGGCCCCACTGGGCACCTTGTCATGTGTCCAGGAACTGCGCTGGCATGAGTAACCCTCTCCAACTGGTTCAAACTCACCTGTTGTAGAGGGTGAAGGTGCTTAGTCCTAGTAATCTTAATAAAGCTCAGAGCTTGAGAGCCAGAAGGGACCTTCCAGAACATACTGACCAACCCTCCCCTTTGTAGAAAGGACAAGAGAGAACAGGGAGGGAACATGCCCCGTTCGAGGTCACTCACTTGAAGCAGTGGGGGAGGAGAAGTTCCAGCTGGTTCTCTGCACTGGCCCAGCCCATTATAGCTGCTTCTCTTTCCAAGGAGGGTTTGCCAACAGCAACTCTACTCCCTCTAGTATCCTTAGTCTTTCCTGCTCCAAAATGCCTAATCTGGCCCTTACCAACTCATGGTGATGCCATGGTGTCTCAGTAGAACTGTGGTCCATAGGGTTTTCAGTGGCTGATTTTTTTCAGCAGTAGATCGCCAGGACTTTCTTCCAAGGTGCCTCTGGGTAGACCCTAACCTAACCGTTTACACCACCTAGGGACTCCCATTTGGCCCTACCTTCCAATAAAGAGGAAACCCTGGTGGCGTAGCGGTTAAGAGCTCTGTCCTGTACAGTTTTACTCTGTCCTGTCAGGTCGCTGAGTCGGAATTCACTCAACAGCAACAGGAGTTTTTTTTTATTTCCAATAGAGAGTTTTTAGGGTGGTTTTCTTCACCCCCCCACCCCCACCCCGGGTAACCATTTCCCAAGCTCTCTGTTCTTTTCGGTTTTTAATTCTTTGGGAAATGTTTATCAAATGTCTGTTTTGCGTGTGAGCCTACTCACAGCATGGGGCCACAGAGATGAAGACGAGATGTCCCTGTGGCACAGTGATTAAGAGCTACAGCTGCTAACCAAAAGATTAGCGGTTCAAATCACTAGTAGCTCCTTGGAAACCCTATGCGTCAGTTCTACTCTGTCCTGTGGGGTGGCTGTGAGTCAGAATTGACTCCATGACAACAGGTTTTTTGTTTTTGGCCTTCCAGGGGCTCTCAGTTATCACTAATATGCCCTCTTGATGAAATCTTTTGGAACCTCAGCTCTGAGGAAAGAAAGTCTTTCGTTTAGCCCTGCTCCCCTTAGTCATGTGTGCAAGGGGAAATCATCTCATTGTTACGACTCTGTACTTCTGAGTTTTTCCATTCCTGCCTGTCTGGCAGCTACGCCACCCTGACTGGGGCCCAGGCGGTATTGGCGAGCAGCCTCACCCGGAAGTCTTGCCGCCCTGCAGCTGTGCCTCGTTCTGATCCTCAGGGTTTACATGAGACATCACGGTTGCGTCATCTCTGCTCCCAGCTGTCCCTGAAGAACTAGGTTTTGCCCTTAGCTGACTAATTGTCTTACCCCATTTTGCCCCTGGGGTGACTACTTGGGCATCCTCCAACCCTCTTCTCCCCCAGTTGCCATCTTGGTGTGGTTGAGCTGCCATGAGTTCAGAGCCTGAGGCCTTGGAAATGAAAGCAGTTTAGCTCAGTAGAAACTGACTGACGTATCCAGTGAAAGGTTCGAATGGAGATTCTGAAATCATTTTCAAGCTCTAACATTTCCAAAAAGGCACGTCGAAAGGTTGACAGTCTGAAAAATTAGTAGGATTCCAGTGTGACAGGGCCTAGAAGATGTAAGCCAGAGACCCACTCCTCTTAACATTTTAAATGAACATAGGTGTCATGTGGATCCCTGAGTGGCACAAACGGTTAATGCCCTCAGCTGCTAACTGAAAGGCTGGCGGTTCAAGTCCACCCAGAGGCACCTCGGAAGAAAGCCCTGGTGATCCACTTCCAAAAACTCAGCCATTGAAAACCCTATGTGGCAGGTTCTACTCTGACACAGATGGATTGCCATGAGCCGGATGAGTCCTACTGGACAGGAGCTGGTGGTGGCACCAAGTATTTCTTCTGACTCTAACACTCTTAGATGAGGGCCCCCCGTCAGAAGATAAAGGGGAGGAAGTGGGTATTCTCAGGGGCCAGATGTACATTGTGAAACAGTGCTGTTGTCTATGAAAGGGTTCTATGGAAGAAGTGATGTTCTTCCCTCCTTTGCTCTAGTTAACACCCTTCCTTGTGCGGAAATACTAATGAATGGCCCCCACATGGCAAAGCTTGGTTGCCAACTCCACGGAGCCCACAGGGCACCCTGGTTCTACCCTAACCAGCCACAACAAGTCAGTTACGGGCAGTCCCCAGGTTATGAACGGGTTATATTCCTAAGTTGGGCTTTAAGTCGAATTTGTAGGTAAGTAGGAACAGGTCCATACGGTTCTTCTTTAGGGTCAGTTGGTCAAACGTTTGTCTTAGTGTATAGCGTATACTTTACCTTTATATAATGTTTTCATGAGTGTCACAAAGTAGTGTGTGCGTTTGTTATTATGAACCATTGTATGTATTTAACTCAAATTTTTAATATATAATATAATAGGCTTTATGACAGTCCCTTCTTAAGTACAAATTGTCCGTAAGTCGGATGTCTGTAACCCGGGGACCGCCTGTATTTGCTTTTCTGGAGAAACCTCAGCCTGAAAATCCAGTTAATTACCGTGGGAGATAATCTTTTTAAAATAGCTTTACATTCTTTACAGACTTCTCCCTGTGGGAGTAGGAAAGTTGGTCTGAATGTGGGGATTGTTTATTTTCATTTCCAGAGGATTTTTTTTGTTTCAAGCCTGTTCCTCCTCACTGATGGTTGTTCGACTCTGTTGTAATAATTAGTTTCTAGAATTGTCACACTCTTTCCCAGCCTAAACCTTGCACTTAGCTCTGTGATTCCAAGCCTATAATTACTTGACGGCTTTCAAGCCTCCATATTAGGTTGGGTCCTATTCTTACTTATCTGTAGGTATCAAGAGTCAATGTCCTCTAAATTTTCCTTTCAGGAAGGTCATACCTGTAAATCCATCAGCCTCAAAGTCCTACCTGGGGCAACCGAGTGGATCCAATAAATTCTTCTCCACTAGAATGCAAGCTTGAGTGAGCAGGGGCCCTATTGCTGTGTTCGCCATGGTGGCCCCATGGCCCCCAGCAGTTCCTGGCTCAGAGTAGGTGATCAATAAACAGATACCAAATTGCTGAACGTCAACAGGTCTTCATGTGAAGAGGTTGTGTGTTTTGTCAAAAAATGAACAATGTACAAAATAAAGCAGAGTTTGGTGGGCTCTAGTCTTTGGCATGGGGCTATTCGAGTCCTCCCCCACATCACTTTAAGAGCAGATGGTCTTGAGGTGTTTGCTGGCCGTATTTTGTACGCTGAGATCTCTGGGCCTTGAAGCATTTATCTCTGGAGAAAAGAAGTCATTGTACTGAAAACAGAATTAGAGGGTGTCTTAGTTACCTAGTGCTGCTGTAACAGAAATACCACAAGGGGTGGCTTTAACAAATAAGTTTATTCTCTCACAGTTTATGAGGCTAGAAGTCTGAATTCAGGGCATCAGCTCCAGGGCAAGGCTTTCTCTCTCTGTTGGCTCTGGGGGAAGACCCTTGTCATCAATCGTCCCCTTGTCTAGGAGCTTCTCAGAGTAAGGACCCCAAGTCTGAAGGACACATTCTGCTCTCAGCTCTTTTTTCTTCATTGTAGGAGGTGCCTCTCCTCTCTGCTCACTTCTGTCTTTTGTATCTCAGAAGAGATTGACTCAAGATACTACCTAACCCTGTAGATTGAGTCCGGCCTCATTAGCATCATAGAGGTTAGGATTTACAACACAAAGGATAATCACATCAGAGGACAAAATGGTGGACAACCAAAATACTGGGAATCGTGGCCCAGCCAAGTCAATACACATTTTTGGGGGACACCATTCAATCCACAACAGAGGATGAGAAAAAAATCCTGTGCAGAAAACTGACTAAATCTTGGGTTTGAATCTCTCCTTCCAGGACCCGATGGAGAGAGGAGCTGGTCCAAGAAATACTCATCCTGTGGGGGCCTGATGCAGTCTCCCATCGACCTGCACAGCGACATCATCCAGTATGACGCCAGCCTTGTGCCCCTCGAGTTCCAAGGCTACAATGTGTCTGCCAACGAGCAGTTTATCCTGACCAATAACGGCCATTCAGGTGAGTAGAGACCTCAGGGCCTGAGGGACAATGTCTGAGCTTCCCTTGGCCCCCTGCCCTGTTCTCTTCCATCTAGCAGGGAGAGGTGGAGGGAGGTCCTTGAGGGATGCCTGGGCCTCTCTCACCAGGCGATGCTGGAGGTCCTGGGCCTGGGTGTTGGTTTCTAGAGCTAATGTAACACAATACCGTAAAGTTGGTGGCTTATAGAACAGAAATTTATTGTCTCACAATTCTGGAGGCTTGGTGTCCAAGATCAGGGTGTTGGCCATGTTGATTCCTTCTGAGGATTTGAGAGAGAATCTGTTCTCCTAGCTCCTGGTGGCTCCAGGCACTCCTTGGCTTGCAGTTACAGTGTCACATGGAATCCTTCCTCTGTCTCCCTGTCTCTGTATATCTTCTCCTCTTTTATACGGACAGCAGTTATATAGGATTAGGACCCACCCTACTCCAGTAAAGGAGCCCTGGTGGCACAGTGGTTAAGTGCTCAGCTGTTAACCGAAAGGTTGGCGGTTTGAACCCACCAGCTGCTCCGTGGGAGAAAGATGTGGCAGTCTGCTTCCATAAAGATTACAGCCTTGGAAACCCTATGGGCAGTTCAACTCTGTCCTACAGGGTTGCTATGAGTTGGCAGTGGGTTTGGTTTTGGGTTTTTTCTATTGCAATATGACCTCATGTTAACCTAACTGATAACATGTTCAAAGATTCTATTTCGAAACAGGGTCACACTCACAGGTTACAGGGAATTAGGACTTCAGCATATCTTTTTGTGGGACACAGTTCAGTCCATAGCATCTCAGGAGGTTCTACCAGGACAGCACCTCTCAAAAGAAGCTCATCTCTTGGGATGGAGGATGGGATAGGCCTGAGTCCCTTGGCCCATTCGCTGTGCTGCTGGCGTGAATTTTGGGACATCAGGAATTACTCATGGGGCCACGCAGTTCAGTGGGGAGCACTCAGGCTTTGGAGTTAGACAAACCTGGATTTGAATCCCAGCTTGACTACTTATGAGCCATGAGACTCTGGGGGAAGAACTTTAACCTCACTGAGGTTTCATTTGGAAAATGGGTATACTGATAGCTCTCTTCCTGGGTTGCCGTGAAGACTAGAGAATGTGTACGTCCAGCCCTAGCTTGTAGTAGATGCTTCATAAATGGCGATTATTGCTGCTCTTGTTATATAATTCTACAGCATGGAGGGTACCTCCCTAAGGTCCGATCTTCACAGCCAGCGTCTAATACATGAGTTGGTAGCCCTGGTGGCACAGCAGGTAAGAGCGTGGCTGCTAACCAAAAGGTCAGCAGTTCACATCCACCAGCCGCTCCTTGGAAACCCTATAGGGCAGTTCTACTCTGTCCTATAGGGTCGCTATGAGTCGGAATTGACTCAACGGCAACGGGAAAGAAATAGATGGGTTATGTAAGTCAACAGCTCACGCACTGGTCTAGTACCCGTGTTTCTGCATCACTTCCAAGCAGAATCAAGAAGGTGCTGGTACCACCGGCATTGCTTTCGGGACACAGGGACATTCTCAAGGAAAGAGGCCAGGCTTCTGACCTGCAGGCTGCACCCCTGTGGTCTCCACCTTGCTGCATCCACCTGCCCCGTCTGAGCCCCATCCAGGCGTTGCCCACCTGGCTGCTCTCTAGCGGCGCTCAGCTGGCCATGGCTCTAAAGCTGCCTCTCCACTCCCTGCAGTGAAGCTGAGCCTGACCCCGAACATGTACCTCCTGGGCCTCCCGTTCCGCTACAGCGCCACACAGCTACATCTGCACTGGGGGGACCAGAGCAACCCCCACGGCTCCGAGCACACCATCAGCGGGAGGCACTTCGCCGCCGAGGTGAGTGGGGCCAGGCCGGTAGAGGCTGTGGTCACTAGGGCTGGGTGGGCTGGCACCCTGCCCTGTGACCTGTGTGCAGAGAAGATCAGAGCACGAGCAGGGGGCTTCCTGCATGCCCTGCACACCCACCCTGGCCCTGTCGGCGGCACAGGAAGCGACAGCTGCTCTGGCCACCCCGCAGGCCATCGGTGCTGTCCCGGTCCCTTCAGCTTCTGAACATGCTGAGCTTGACTCTGTGTCCTTAGGTGAGCGATGCTACTCTGGAGGCAGTGCTCCCGGGGTGGTCCAGTGGGACCCCCATGCTCCTTTTCCATTTTCGCAGGTTAAGATCTCATCAGCTTGTCTGGCTGACACATCCTGCTGAATCACACGGGGTTAACTGCTCCCTCAAACTTCTCGGTCTTCTTCCTAGGTCGTGCTGTTTCCATACGGCTTTCCCATCCCATCTTTCCTTTCCCGGGGCATGGGTTGAGCTTTGGGACATGGGGACCCAGGTCCAGAGCTACTCCTCTCCCTGGCTGCAAGTTAAGTGATGGCTGGCATTATCAGGCACAGGCCGTGATGGCCCAGGTGGCATTCCTGGAGGTTCCCAGAGTTCGGATCAGGCCCCTCTCTGAACCCTGAGGACAGCAGTTTCTTTTAGGCTAATTGCAACGTGAAGGCTTCTGCTTCCCCGTGGGAAATAAAGAAGGGCTAAGGGTGTAGGCTGGAAGGGCTTGTGCATTTTGAAATATTTCTAGTTACTGTATTTTCTGCCATTAAGTGACGTCCCGAGACTCTTGGTCTGGTGAAATGGACCGTACATGCTGACAAAAGAGAAACCCATCAGGTGGCCCTAAAACAGCAGCTTCCCTGTGGAGGGTCCTTGGAAGAGTAACAGTCCTTCTGGATTTAGTTTCTACAAGAGTCTTTCTCACATTGAGGGGATTGCAACCAATGTCACAAAACAATTTGTGTATACATTCTTGAATGAGAAACTAATTTGCACTGTAAACTTTCACCTAAAACGCAATAAAATTTAAAAAAAGAATCTTTCTGAATCCTCTGTGTAGGGAATTCCCTGTGCCTTTACTTCCTCTTGATCTAATCTAAATAGGAGAAGAAAAATGCCAAGACAGACCACAAGCTCAAATGTCAGCTACAGAATGAATCAAGGACCTAGGTGCTTGGGGTTTGAGCCAAATAGAATTTTGCTCGGCTTCTCAAAGAGATGCCAGGCCAAGATGGTGTGGGACCGTGGGGAAGGCTAGGTCCTTTGGAAGGAAAAGCAGTGAAGTGGAAATTCCTAAGAAATCCTTAACAGAGGAACACATGAAAGATGAAATATACCCCGAGAGTATGGCCCCCGGACACCCTTTTAGCTCAGTACTGAAGTCACGCCTGAGGTCCACCCTTCAGCCAAAGATTAGACAGGCCCATAAAACAAAATGAGATTAAAGGGCCCACCATCCCAGGGGCAAGGATGAGTAGGCAGGAGGGGACAGGAAAGCTGGTAATGGGGAACCCAAGGTCGAGAAGGGGAGAGTGTCAACATGTCTGTCGTGGGGTTGTTAACCAATGTCACAAAACAATATGTGTATTAATTGTTCAATGAGAAGCTAGTTCATTCTGTAAACCTTCATCTGAAGTACAATTAAAAAAAAAGATGAAATAATTTCAGGTGATTTTTAAAAATTAGAAAGGGCCAGTTGAAAAGTTCAAAATGGAACTTTAAACTGTATTCAATAAAATACACTTGAATTCTATTTATAGACACGTAACATGGAAAAGAGGTGACTGAAGAGAAATGAAAGAAACAGATATAAAATCTCAGTATTGTCATAGTCCCGAGAGGCAAAGAATCAACAAAAATGCGTTTATTGCATAGATATACAGCAGGGTTTTGAACCGGTCCTTTCCAGTTTGACCACCTACTGAGAATTTGAATTTCCACCCCTAGGCATATTGAATCGGAGTCGACATTTTAAAGGTTCTGATTCAGTATCTCTGAGTGGAAATGCAAATTCTCTGCAGGGGGGTTGAACCGGAAAGAACCGGTTCGAAGCCCTGATTTCAACTAGCAGCAATCCCATGTGCTGCCAAGTAGAACTGCGCTCCATAGGAAGACTCAGGAGGGACAAATGCACCAAAGCTGATTCATGGCTAGCTTAAGAACCCATTGGTTCATTCAATATCTCTGGCGCACCTGGTACGTTCCAGGCACCGTATCAGACATGGAGGGCACAGTGAGTGAGTAAGGTAGACACAGCCCGCCCAGGTGGAGTTTGCAGTCTAAAGAGGACCGCAGGAAAAGGGAAAATGGGGGGTGCCACGTGGGGAGGCTCAGAGAGGCCTAATCTAGCTCGGGGGGTCTGCCCTTCCACTTGGAGACTCGAGTCTCACGCAGAAGTGAAAGGTTCCCACACGGCGCTCATCCACTGATGGAGGCTTCTGTCCCTCTGCAGCTGCACATCGTCCATTATAACTCGGATCTGTACCCCAACGCCAGCACCGCCAGCAACAAGTCAAAAGGCCTCGCCGTCCTAGCTGTTCTCATTGAGGTAAGAGCCGTTTACAAGGTTTTTACATGACATTTGAAGCAGGAAGGAGAAGAGAGTGCAGTGTTGCGTTCCACGCACATCTGTTGGTTGGATGGACGTGGCTCACCAGCTGCCCATTTGGCCGCGTCTTGCCACCAAAGCAGAGGATATTCCCGTCCAGGGCTCCTTCTCTGCTGGCCTGGAGGCAGTGCTTTCTGTGGCTGAGCAGCAAACAGGGGTATGTCCTTTGGGACACTGGAAGCATGAGTCCCCGTCTCAGTCCTCTGGCATAAGGCATGAAACCACCCACTAGGGGGAGGTGGTCATTCAGTGCTGCCCCCACCAGATGCCTGAACCCCTGGTACAACTCCCAGTATCCACACTCCATCCTACATATGGACCCTGAAATAAATTCTTTCTTTAATCCTGTACCCAGGAAATGGAAATGTCTCCTGATTCGCTTGCATTTTTTTCCCTAATAAGACAGTATGCACCTCTTTTCCCAACAAGCTTCCCTGTCTGACTCAGTGCGCATGAACTCAGCGCTCCCTTAAGTTCTGGGTTAGACGAACATGTTAGCTGTGGCCTTGAGGCTCACAGCCACATAATCAGACCCTCAAGCCTTGGTGCCATCAGCTGAAAAAGGACGTGCTGACTCCCTAACAGCCTACTGAGCCTTCATAATTGTCCTAATACAGCAGATCTTCCAGGGAGGACCCCCACAGCAGTAGCTATGTACCCTCAGCTAAGCCTCCCACTGGCATTTGTCAGTCCACGTCCAGCCTGTAGAGTTCCATCCCAGCCCAACAGGTCAATCTACCTGCCTGGTCTCTGTTGTAGATGGGCTCCTTCAATCCATCATACGACAAGATCTTCAGTCACCTTCAAGATGTAAAGTACAAAGGTGAGTGGTCCTCGGATGCTTACTCGTTCTCTGTTGAAGAAGGGTGTCGTCACCCCTAGGTCTGTCCATGGAGGCTTGTGTGTTGCTGTGATGCTGAGCAGATTTCAGCAGAGCTTCCGGACTAAGATGGACTAGGGAGAAAGGCCTGCTGATCTGCTTTGGAAAATCACCCAGTGAAAACCCTCTGCACCACAACCGTGCAGTGCACTACTGATCATGGGGATGGTGCAGGCGCGGGCAGTATTTGGTTCTGTTGTGCACGGGTCATCATGATCTGGGGGCCGACTCCATAGCAGCTAACAACAACAACGTGGAACCTTAGAAAAACAAAGCCGGGGCGGGTACTGTCTGCGTTCACCAGGTTTAGGGCAGCAGGCTGCTGAACAGCACTGTGACCAGGTCCTTGGGCCGGATGGCCCGGACCGGGGCTAGTTCACGTTTCCAGGCTCAGTCATATGCTCCGCTACCGTCTGCGCTATGGAGTCAGGCTGACGCCATCGCGCCCCCACCCCAACGTGTCTCTCCAGGCCAAGAGGTGCCCGTTCCAGGTTTCAACGTCAAAGAGCTGCTTCCTGAGAGGCCTGAGGAGTTCTACCGCTACATGGGGTCCCTCACCACACCTCCTTGCAACCCCACTGTGGTCTGGACTGTTTTCCGAAACCCTGTGCAAATTTCTGCGGAACAGGTAACTGTCGCGCCTGTCTGAGTCAGAGCGCGTGCTGTACCTCGGTCCCCTCCACAGATCTCCTCACTTAGCATCTCGTTGGCAGCTGTTCAAAGTCTCCCCAAATATCGAAGGTGACCTGGCATGCTGGAGTTCCCGGGTGGCGTACACAATTAACACACTCGGCTGCTAACCGAGAGGTTGGAGGTTTGAGTCCACCTAGAGGTGCCTTGGAAGAAAGGCCTGGCAACCTACTTCCAAAAAATCAGCCATTGAAAACCCTATGGAGCACAGTTCTACTCTGACACATATGGGGTCGCCATGAGTTGGAATCTACTCAACGCCAACAGTTCTTGGGGTGCTGCAGCCTGCTTGCAGAAATTACACACTGAGCTTCAAAAGTGGAGCTATCCAGTCAAGCTAGGAAAATGAATACTTTTGAAAAAAGAGTTGTAAAGTTGTGTTTCCTAATATAGCCCTCAGTGGTTGGATGGTATTTACTTCCCAGGTGGGAGACAGCATGGTTTATTTACATGGGCAAATTTAAGACAGGCTTGGGTTAAATCATTTAACAGATGGGGAAGCTGGGATTATAGGAATGAGTAAATCAGGGTCCCTGCCCTCAAGAAGCTCACAATCCAAGGCAAAGCTGGGGAATACAATCCTTAGCAGTCACTTCTAACCCTCTCATTTTACAGAGGGTTAGAAAGTTTAAGAAACTTTCAGAATCACCCACTGGTTAGTGACAAAGCTGAGACCCAAAGCCGGGTCTTCTGAGTCCCAGGTCACTGCTCAACCCTCTACCTCACAGCCGAAATTCACAAAGAAGAAAAATGGTTGTAGCTGGAGACGCGGCCAGGGCAGCGCTGCACATGGCTCATGGTCTCCTGCCTCTCCACGGCTGCCTGGGTCCAGGACAGCCTCACTCTTGCTCCCTCCTTCTTACTATGCATTTCTGATGTGAGTAACCTAGACACAAGGCAGCGGTAGGTGGACAGGAATAAAGGTGTGATGAATCAGAGATGAAATGTGCAGGGAAGCAGTAACATCCTAACCCAGAACCTGCCCTGGAAATGGATTCTATAACCTATGTGGGTGTATGAAAATTACATGGAGCCAGGCGTCAGACAAGGAGCCCTGGTGGCACAGTGGTTAAAGCGACCGACTGCTAACTGAAAGGCAGCAGTTCAAAACCAGCAGCTCTGTGGGAGAAAGATGTGGAGTTTGCTTCAGTAGATATTTACAGCCTTGGAAACCCTACAGGCTTGCTATGAGTTGGAATCAACTCCATGGCAGTGGGCATGGCTTGGTTTTTAGGTGTCAGATGACCTGTGAAACTCTTACCTTGCTCCTTCTATTCCTTTTGAAGTGACCATCAGAATGAGCCCACAGGCCTCCTCTGATTTAGAGTTGAGTTCCATTTCAGGCTCATGGAAAGAGAGGCTGAGGAGCCCCCAACCACCCAGGAAATCAGGAGCCAACAGCGCTGGCCTTCCCTGAGCCTCGGGAGGTGAGGGGCAGACCCAGCAGTGCCCAGCACCCCCGGGGTGTGCACAGCAGTTCTCTGCCTTTCCCACTGCTTTCTAATGTGTCTCCCACCAAGCACCATGGGGGCTGGTTCCAGGCTCTTCTCTTAGGTGGGAGAGGTGAGGGCTGGCAGCTCTCTTCCTGTCATCACTGTGCCTCCAGGGTATGTTTCTGCTCTTTTCCTCAGCTGCTGGCTTTGGAGACAGCTCTGTACTACACACATGTGGATGACCCTTCCCGCAAAGAAATGGTCAACAACTTCCGGCAGGTCCAGAAGCTTGACGAGAGGCTGGTGTATGTCTCCTTCCGACAAGGTGAGGAGATGCAGTGTTTGTGGGGGAGTGTGTGCCAAGATGTCCGTTTCCTATGAATCAGGGGCCTTGCCCTCTATCTCCACCACCAGTGCTGCTAGGAGGTTAATTAATGGACCAGTGTGACGTCTTGTGGAAGGGAAAGGCATTCAAGGTCCCTGTGGACTAAATGATAACATAGGGCTGAAGAGTTGTTATACCCCTGAGGTAGGACAGTGAAGGTGTATTTCTGGTCTTGCCAGCTGAAGAGAAGCTGCTCCTGGTGGTCCTTCAAAACAGGTATGGAGAAAAAGACATTGGCCAGATTAATAGCTGCATACCAGGTACTACAAGACGTATTAGTTTGCTCAAGCAATGAAACCACATCTGGAACAGCAGCTGCAATTGGAGTCACTACCTGGTTAAGTTTACCATAATCCACTGTTATTCTCCAAGATCTGTTTTTTGCACAGGCTAAATACATGAGTTGAATGAGGATGTGGTGGGAATCACCACCCCTGCATCCTTCAACCCTTTACATCACCTGTGGACTGAACTGGACCAGGTGTTCATGTTTAGAGAACTCATTAACCCACCCATCAGAGAAATCGGGTCTTCGCTTCACTCCTGGTGCACCTTTGTTCTTGCTCCTTTCTTACAGTGTCAGGTTATAACTATCACCTACTAAGCTTAGTTGAACGTTGTTTCAAGGTCCTTTCAAGAAAGCTCTAGAAACATGACCTCAACTGACCACACATCTGGTCAGAATTACATGCTTCTCTTTCAGTTAATCAAGACTTGTCCAAGAATCCGTCTTTTGTGTTTTCCTCTCCAGATACCATTAGTTAATCTCTTCCTCACTTTCTGTGTCTGAAAACTGAATCTGTGAACAACGGCCCGTCCTAAAAATTGAGAATGTATATGCTGATGACTACCAGCTTCCTTTCTAGAAGCACAGAATTACCCCTTTGTAATCTATTCTGGATATAGCTTCTTCTTTTCCCATTCTTTTACATGGAGTATGTAGTATTCAAGGGTTAAATCGAAGCACTTCAACTTTTAATTAAAAACCTAAAAACTCTGCCTAGAGATATATAGATGAGGTAGAATTCTGCTTGTGATGCAAGGACTCTTATCAGTTCTGTTTTCTGACCTAGTCTATACAAGGCCATGTCAGAGGGAGTAGGGCAACAAATACTCTGCCTATAGTCCGTAAAGGGGCCCTCGTGGCGCAGTGGTTAAGTGTTTGGCTGCTAACCAAAAGGTCGGCAGTTCAAATTTACCAGCTGCTCCTTGGAAACCCTGTGAGGCAGTTCTACTCTACCCTAGAGGGTCGCTATGAGTTGGAATCGACTCGATGGCAACAGGTTTGTTTTTTTTTGGTGTAGTCAGTAGAAAGAGCCCTGGTGGTGCAACAGTAAAGCACTCGGCTGCTAACTGAAAGGTTGGCAGGTCAAACCCAACAAGCTGCTCCGGGGGAGAAAGACCTGGCAGTCTGCTCCCGTAAAGATTACAGCCTAGAAAACCCTATGGCGCAGTTCTGCTTTGTCACATGGGGTTGCTATGAGTCAAAATCAACTCAACAGCACCTAGCAACAATATAATCAGGAGACCCAAGTTCAAGGCCTGGCTTTGTCTTCTGCTGGCTGTGTGACATGAGCCAATCACGTCCCTTGTTTGGCCTTGGTTTCCTCAGCCACAAACGAGGGGGCTGGACGAGGTCATCTAACACCCTTTTGGTGCTGCCGTGTTGATTCTAAGTGGACACTAACGACTGCCAACCCTGGCTTTACATTGCAGGAACACTGTTTGAGGACAGTTACAGAGGATCGGAAGAAACCTGGCAGGAACTTGAGTCTGACCTGCAAAATGAACCCCCCACTTGTAACAATGGGGATGATTAGCCATCTTCTTAGACCGGTTCAGGTCTAAGTTGCTGCTTGTAGCCGAGCGCTTCAGTAGACCCTCTCAGTCTGGCCAGGGGAGCTTGGGGGGCCTCTAAGCACCAAGGGCTAAGCTCGAACACCAACTCTTGGCTTAGGACAGCAAGATCAAAGGCCAAATGCAGCTTTGCCACTGCCCTCCATCCCCACACAGCTCCCCAGAGCTGCTACTTCCAAGAGCTGGGGCTGGGCCCACTCTCCTGGTGTGAGGATGCCTGGCAGTCCAAGGCAAATCTGTTCATTTGGAGGCTGATTATAGAAACTTGGCCACAATTCTCCCCTCCTCCTCACTTCCCAAAGACACAGGCAGCAGAGGGGTTCTTGCCTAAGGAGGAGGCAGCCCCAAGACAGTGAAGCCCCAACCCCCATCCTCCCAGGGGCACTGCACTCAGGTAGGTCGTCCCATACCCAATTTGGAGTGGCCTCAGGCTGTAACATACCGTTTAGGGTTTACGGTGCCAGCCTGCTTGCAGGCGTGAGCCTTGAGCAGTTTGCACTCAATTGTTGGGTAGATTTTTCCACGGGGGCATGACTGTAATCAGGGTCTGATTTATTCAGGGTTTTCTCTGGATGTTAACAAGAACTATGGAGTGAGAAAACTCAGTCAGAAGCGAAGTAATGTTCAGAAAATCCTTTATGAGAGAAAGTACATGGACTTTGGGAGGAGGATCTAAGGTTTAACCAAATTGGGGCAATTGGGACTGAGTCATTTAACTTGAGCCTGCTATGTACCTAGACTGTGCTAGGTGCTAGGGCTTAGAAAAGGAGTACAGGACCTGGTTTCTGTCCTCAAAGGGTTTACAATCTAGCTACAGCTTGGCCTAAGGGCAGGGTTTCTCAACCTTGGTAGTACTGACATTTGGAGTAAGAGAATTCTTTGTTGTGGGGGCTGTCTTATGCGTTGTACAATGGTTAGCAGCCTCCCTGGCCTCTAGCCATTAGAAGCCAGTAACATCCCTCCAGTGGTGACAACCTAAAATATCTCCACACATTGCCAAATGTCTCCTGATGGAGACCCACTGCCCTAGGGATTGTACAATAACTTTCCTAGACCCTGAATTGAGGGTGTTTTGTTGTTTAAACTCTTACCATAGGATTCTAGAAGTTTGATATCACATTCCCTGGTCTCTATTCTGTTACGGCATCACATTTTCAGTCCAGTAATAGTTACCCTTGAAACAACAAGGTGGAAGTTATTAAGGTAGAACAACCAAACCCAAGAGAAACTTTGTTCCTCATCTTCCTTTAGAATTTAAGTATATTTTCTTTTTAATATAACTGGGTAGATCGAAGGCTAAGAGAAGTGGGATGAGAGAATTAACAGCCCTTTAGAGAGGAGAAGCCCACGAATCCTTTTATCGGGGGACCAGATACCTCTGAAGCAGCGCCCTTCTTCAGAATGCCTCATCACTTTTCTCCTCCCTTCCTTTTATACCAACTTTTTCTTTCTTGTATGTTATGTTTCTCTTTGCCTTTGGTTGAAATATCCACTCTTTATTAAAAGGTAGTAGTCATGCCAGGCACTTTTTTCAGCTCTTAAAAAGTGTCTCTTCCAAGTGGCACAAAGGGAAGTCTTGATTTAAATATTGGAAACGAGATTCACTTTCCTCAAAGTGGGATCCTGGTGAGGAAGCTACCTCCTGGGACCAGTCCAGACTTCCTAGGAAGTCAGATGCCTTATGTGAGGGAAGGGGAAAGAGGGCAGAGGCAGCTATACAGTCCACAGGGGCCAAGGCTTCGAACTTTGACCCAATCTTTGGTTTCTTTGAGTTGACCTCTTCTTGGCCAATGACGCCAACACTGGGTCCAGTTGGGGATGTATAATAAAGCAAGAGCCCATCCAACCTAACAGTAATACTACCAAGCCCTATTTTCAACATGTCAGGACAATGGAAACTTGAGGGACAACAGGAAGCCAAACAGTTTCTATAATCATGTCTTCAGTGGGCTTGCTCTGAGCCACTGCTCTTAGCAGAGCCCAGCGGCAGCTGAGGCACACGTAGACAGGAGCACTGGACGGTAAAGGAGCAGGGTTCTCACCGATGGCAAATCTGTGGAGCAGCATGATTAAAATCGGCTTGACCCTGAGTGACCTGGGTGGTTTTATAAAACTTAAACAGAAAAATCTTACAAAGCTAAGATGGCTAATTATCTAATTTTTTTATACTGGATTGTACACTTTGTGGTTATCGACCCTGTGTTTCTAAAAGTTCCTATTTATAAATAAAGGCTATTAGACAGAAGAGTAGCATCTATTCTTCCAAAGCATCCAAAGGTCTGCTCAGAGAAGTTCCCACCATCAAGTCCCTGGACCTGGACATGGGGCTGAAGAATAAGGAGCAGTCGTCAAATGTGCTAAGAAGTGACGTCCTAGTCCCTTCATCTAAGCCAATCCAACAAATCACGTTTCCTGAGCACTCCCGAGGTTAGGCCCTATGGGGTCCCCACCATGGATGGTCATCTGGCTCCTAACGAGTCTTAGCACACAGCAGACCACATCAGGAAGGACAGCTGGGAAAAGGGGGTGGGCAGAAAGCTGGGACTACCTTTGCACCTTGGCCCCAGCTGATCTTTCCAGCATCATCTCCCCGGGGCACCCATCCATGCCCTCCAGGCCCCTGCCACACCAAACCGCAGGGCCTCCCCTTAACATAGCAGGGGCGCTCAAGGCTTTTTACACACGATTCCCCTTTGGGATGCCCCTCTACGTCTTCCACCTGGAAAATTCTTTGAAGACCCAACTGTAACCGTCTCCTCTCTGAAGTCTCCCCCATTCCCCTGAAGGTGGCTTCCATTCTTCTTCCTGAGTGCTGCCAGAACAACTTGTTCATCCCTGTTATGGTACTTTTCACACCACAGAGTAGTTATTTATTACCATAGAGTTTTAAAAAAAGGAAGAGAAAAAAATCCGTATATATCACACACACACACTGCAAGCTCCTTAAGGACAAGGCTGGGTGGTGGTGTGCCTGGTGTGCATCACAGGCTTCTCGGAAGAATGTAACCAACCCACCTCTCCTTCCTCTCCGCTACAGCGTCTTCTCTGCAGAATGATTTGAACCTCAGCCTGGCCAATAGTCACATTTTAGTTTTCTTAAGTCATATTTTGCTTTGTTATCAATTTGCCAACAAATTAATCACTCCACTTGCTTAGGTAGCATGAAAGATCAGAATGTAGCTGTCAAGCTTTGATGGTCTAGGAGGGAGTTGCCTAGAGGCTGTCCTGGTTTCAGATTGCTGCTCTGGCCCCAGTCGCGGCCACAGGCCACCATTCCTTCCGCACAGCCTTGGTCACCAAAGGGTGTTTGGAGTCCTTGGCACCCAGTGCTGACATTATAATCCATGCCGACTGCACTTCGATTTAGTCCCTTGGAGCAGTAGGCTTTCTGTTCTGGGCCTGCATCCCTGCAATCTGGAGGGCAAAGCCCTCCATCTCTATAATGGTTATATGAAACCAGTTGCCTTGTACAGTCTGCTATCTTTTTGGAAGATTCTTTTGTAGAAATAGTTCTTTGTTAGGTTGCATAGTATTAATAACGGAAAACTTCACAGTTAAATATATCCTCCAGGGAAAACTCCCCAGTTAAATATATCCTCCAAAGATGGGAATGTTGTGTGGTTGTTGAAGGCATCTCCCTTGCTTTCTTTCCAAAGCATCAGCCAAAGAGAGAACTTGCATTTCAGCTACTTAGCTCTGTGATGTTTATTAAGCATGACAATAGGAGTTTTTACCACCTTAAGCTGGATTTTATGTAAACTATCAACCCCCATAGTCTCTCCTGGCCTCTTTTACAAAACTAGAGACTGCTAGAGACCTATATAAGGTCCCTGGGTGGCTCAAATGGTTTGCACTCATCTACTAACTAAAAGGTTGGCAGTTCAAACCCACCCAGCAGCACTATGCAAGAAAGACCTGGTGATCTGCTTCCATAAAGACTGTTGTTATTGTTGTTGTTGGGTGCCGTTGAGTCAGTTCCGACTCATAACAACCCTATGTACAACAGAACAAAACACTGCCCCGTCCTGCACCATCCTCACAATCTTTTCTATGTTTGAGCCCACTGTTGCAGCCACTGCGTCAATCCATCTTGTTGAGGGTCTTCCTCTTTTTCTCTGACCCTCTACCAAGCATTATGTCCCTGGTCCCTCCTGATAACATGTCTAAAATACATGAGATGACGTCTCGCCATCCTTGCTTCCAGGGAGCATTCTGGTTGTACCTCTTCCAAGACAGATTTGTTCATTCTTCTGGCAGACCATGGCATATTCGATATTCTTCACCAACACTATAATTCAAAGGCATCAATTCTTCTTTGGTAAAGAAAACCTTAGGGAGCAGTTCTACTCTGTAATGCATGGGGTCACCATGAGTCATGAGATCTACATATATGTTATCACTATATAACATGCCACCCACAAAAACAGTCCATACTTAAACAGTGCTTTGAAAGGAGAAGGATGGTATTCCACATTCAAACAGAATCGCAAATAGATCTAGAGAATACGAGACCTTCGTTCTAGGAACCATGAGCTGTATAAGCAAGGTGCTTGTTCATCCTGCTGGACTGGTCCGTGTTTACACTTGAGGCTTCAGGGCACCTCAACAGCAGTTAACCAGCATCCCGTGGTGCAGCAAGATGCCAGTGGAAGATGCAGCTCTTGACACCTCGGAGCCAGCCCAGAGCAGGCGGCAATGCCTTGTGGCAAGTGGCTCATCTCCCTCCTCCAGGCGTCTGTGCCTTCCGGCAGGCCTGTGCCGGCGGGTTCTTCTGTATCTGCGTGATTTCCTTCTCTGTGTCGTACTGCCTGATCTCTGCTCGCCCTGACACGACCCCGAGCCTGATCCCCGCTCGCCCTGACACGGACCCCGAGCCTGATCTCCGCTCGCCCTGACACGGACCCCGAGCCTGATC